ACTCCCGGTACCTCCTTTCGATAAGCACGTATTTTATGAGCGCCAGACTAGCGAAGCAGTCGAATGTAACACTAATTAGTAGGAAACGTCGAATTGTATTTTAATGTATAGTAGGGTAAATTTTGTGTTTTTAATTAAGTTCATAATTCCTAATGTCATAGTTAGCCCGGCTACCGTCAATTTTTGAATATTAATTTTTGGTCCGATTAATATTTAAAAACTGAAGATAGACGGACTGACTATGACATTGGGACGTCAAACATCTCAGTCACCTTTTTTACGTGGTAGAGCCATGCTGCAGTTATATTAGTAGTATAGTTGTAGCACGAATGGGTCGGCTTGACCGGGGAAGGACCACGCTCTCACAGAATACCAGCGTGAAATGGTAGCTTGATGCTACTGGTGTTTCGTATGGTGAGTGTAGAGAAACAGAGACCCTTTTTACTGGAAATGAGGCATTCCATCTTAGTCCTCACGGGTGACAACGCATCTGCATTTTGATTTGTAATCGAAGATAAATGTAGATGTCTATGGGCTACAGCAACCACTTACCACCAGATGGACGTAAGTCCACGCGGTGGACTTTGTGTTCGTTTGTCATCCTTGCTCCTTTAAAGAAAATATAAATCTTTAAATATGCTATTGTTACTTTCACAAGCCATCTTTAAAAAGGGACAATAATTATTATGTAGAAAAACATCGCATTGTGGGTATTTTCTACTCATATTCTCCAACAAATATAATTTCTACAATATATTGCATAATTAGATTTTAATGGAATTTTATCCACATGCTGAGCACTATTCATTCAAAATATTGGCTGAATATAATATAAATTCAACTTTTCTAAAAATATGGCCTTAAAATAGAGACACATAAAGTTTTAACAATCCTTCAACTTAGATACTAAGCGGATTATACAATATTCTTCAATACTAAGTTTTCACAGTGTATCCAAATTCAATGATTATTTCAAATTTATGTTGAAATATGTTCTTATAGAGTTTTGAATTATACAACACTATTTTATGTATACCTTAGAATACAAAGTAAGTTTGGGCAGGTTTTTAAATGTATATTTTAGAATTTATTCTCCACATTTCAAGCCTCGACTGGTGCTAGTGCGATTTCGTGATCTGGTGTTACGTTTCTTTGCAGCGCGGTATGAACAAATTGTTCAATATCAAAGAGCGTGTATTTAGGACTTTATAATTCAATTTTCGCAGCAAGTAAGCCTAGTATATACCTTCTAGGGATCTAGATACAATCTGGGACAATGCACAAACACAACTCGATTCCCAACTTTCAAGTAAGGTGAAGGCAGGATTGAGGTATTACATTTTAATGGAGAAAATATCTTTGTAGTATGTATTTAAGTATGTTTTTTGCATGTCATATAATTTAAACATAGACATTTATTTATTTTAACGTAGTTATTTGTGATTTGCACTCATCTTCTCTGCTTACCATGCAGGTAGACTGGTAGAGAAAGCCTTATGGCATAGCGTCCCCCTTTTTACATGGTGTGCAAATTAATAAATAAATAAAATGCATTCTGTTTATTAAAAGCGGAGAATACACACAGTGTTCGGAAGAGGTAGACTGGTAGTGAATGGCTCTATCCATGACGTCCATTTCCATGTGTGTGTAAAATATTAAGATTTAGTTAAATAAATATAAAAGTGGAAAATTAATTTTCTTTGCAAGCTGTACTTTTCAAGTGACAGTTGACAGATCGCGCAGTAATTCGATGTAATTGACGTTCCTATTCTTATTTGAATCGTATAGTATTACAGTTCAACACCAAAAACGAAATATTTTGCGTATCAAACATCATAACGTAGCTCAGATTTAACCTAGCGATATAAATCTTGAGAATTTTTTCTATCGGAAAATCACGCCAATGTTTCATTTAAACTTAGTACATATTTCTTCGATACAATTTGCATATGGATTTCCATATTGAGGGAGAAAAAATTGTTAAGTCGTGATCTTTGGATCTTTTGTGGAATTTTATATACAACACGATATCAATAGCATAGTTATGTCTAGCAGTTTAATAACTGAATTTATCTTTTATTTGGGTAGGGGTGATAATTGCACATAGTCCATGATAGTAAGTCAAGAATGAAAATGCAGATGCATTGTCATCCTTAAAGACTAAGACGGAATACCCCGTGACCAGTAAATAACTCCTGTTCTTTTCACTCACCATACGATTCACAGCAGCATTATGCTCCTATTTTAGGTTGTTATTCTGTGTGAGCGTGGTATAAACATTAAACATTTACGGTTAAGTCAATTCATTCGTACTGCAAAATTTTTATCTTTTCCGGATTATTCTTTATGCTCACCATAACAGTTGCGAGTGTCTTATCGAGCTCACGATACCATAGATTCTTTCTGCATAGTTCGGATCAAAAATTGAAGATTAAAAGCGTCAAATTAATTAAAAAAGATAGCCTGAATTAACAACGACAAAAGGAAGTCTTAAAAAATCCTTTTGGGTATGAAATATTAAATTATATCGTGTTATAATGTAAAATTATTATAAACAATTTTACGTTATTGTATATATAAATAATTTAAGCGTAGATATTGTATTTTAAGTATATATTTATATCGTGTTATCTACCTTGTATTTGTAGCTTTATTCTTTGGGAATTTTTGCCTGGAAGGCATAACTTAACGTCCTGATAAGATATGTAGGAAGTCGATGGATGCGTGTGGCTAGGACTGTGTTATGTGCATGTTTAAAAACTAAGCATGAACTTCTAAAGGACAGAGTAAGAATCAAAGGTATAATATATATCTACTCACAATTTTTATTAAGTGATGAAACTTACGAGGATAAATTTTGTCATTAACAATAATATAGATCTTAAGTACGACGGTATTATTGGTACAGATTTTCTTAAATATTTTAATGATAATATGGATTTTAGTTCTAAGATAATGACTTTTTGCGGTCACCAAGTTCCTATTATATTTCATCAGCCAACTTACACCGTTCGGGCATGCTCAGAAGCAGTCATTGAATGCGCTATATCAAACTACTCGCTCGAGCTTTATCATAATAATGAAGCCTTAGTATCACTAAAATCAAATAAAAACGTTAACATCACCGTTTTAAATACGACTGATACAGACATAGAAATCAAAGATTATTCCGTAGAATTAATACCTATCGTGGAATTAATTCTATTTCCTGCAAAAATTCAATATCTAGTTGTTGTGAATGTTTTGGTGGCTAGTGTATCTTAGGGGCTTGTGTAGGGAGGAAAATGAAGTAAATGTTCACATACGTTGTAGTTGATTTATTTTCTACATCAGAGATGCGTGTTCACCTGATACACTTAGAAAGGAACTGCCTACTGCACTCTAGCTAACCGACTTACACACTGCCGTCCCGCTGGCGGCGGTAGTTATCGTATTTCATGCGAATTACATATACATTGACACGGGCGATATATGTGTGTGCTGTGTCAGCAGCACCCACAGTACCCCCCCCCCTTTTAAAAAAAATGAATTTGATACATAATTTAGTAAAAAGTTTGATCTAAAACTATATAGCCTTACTTCTAACTAAAACTAAAAAGAGTGTGCGTGGAGCTTACAAGGTTGCAAGCAAACGATGCGATAACGCGTGGCTTGTTTGCTACTTGCTTGCTTGACCTACATACTTTCTACGAAAATAATGCAACTAAATATTGATCTAAATATAATCACGGGTACATTACATTGAATTGTTTAACACTATAATATAAAATACAAATTGACTCTCTTATGGGTCAATATTAATTTCATGAACGCTACATATAGTCTTAAAGGTAAAATTACATGCTTTGTGTTCTTAAGAATACATTTAAGTACTTACTTATCTCTAATTTCTTACATTAACTTTAATTATTGACACTCATTGATTACAAAAGGTTTAGGTCTATAATATATGTAATACATAGTTTAATTTGTAAATATACTATTCAGGAATGCCAAACATATTATATAGTTTTATTTTATTTTAACACTAGTATTTTAATAATGCACTGATGCTGATTGGGTGGCTGGACTAGCTGCTGTTTGAGCTAGCTGTGTCCCGCGTCCTTGTTCGATATTCGAAATAACATGTTCGATCACTTTACCCTTTACTTTCTTTCCGGCTTTCCGGCAAAAATGTAAAAACATGTTAAACTTACCACACTTATCACAATTATACGATAATTATATAAATAATAAAAACAACACTGTAGAATTCTAGTTTTCTTTCTAATTCAGCTTGCGCCTGGTAACCGGCTCCGTTCTGAGCTATTATTACTTCCGCGTTCTTGGACTGTTGCTTGCCCATGTTATTAAAATTAGTCATATATTTTTTACATAAAAGATGTGCCAATCTGTTACATATAATAATTGCTAATTATTCTATTTCCTAAGTTAAATTTTACTTAAATATGCAGCGTTACATAAAATAATCTTTAAAATTTGTAAAGACCTAGATTACAAAAAACGCACAGGTGGCTTTACTACTTGGCCACTCCGTGTTGTACAAGGAATAAACTTATTATCTACTTTACTTTTTGCGTTCGCGTTCTGACATTCATTAAAATTTTTAATAAAAACAGTTAATAAAAAAAAACAAATTGAACAAAAAAGCTTTTTCTTCAGCTTCTAAGACAAAATAAAACTTCTAAAACAATTCTAACGCTAAACTAACAGAGCTGTGATACAATCAACAGCTATGGTGTCATATGGTGTTTTTTGAATCATTAGCTTTGGATTTTCTTTCAAACCTTTTCTCAAAGTTCCAGTAGAATAAGTCTTGTTATCTAAAAGACGTTTAGCCAAGTGGAAACTATTATAATAGTAATTATCCTTATCAATTACATTACAACTTTTTCGGCGTACCCTTTTCCAGCAACATCATGGTCTTGGCTCCCTGCATATACTCGAATCTTCAAAATGAGACTATCCGGTTCAGTCAACATGTATATGATACCATACTCTCATCCAACGACAGCTCTTTGCCAGGATAATAGCATGTATTCGTTTTTTTGATTGAGGACACTACGTATTTTGTACAGTGGGTCTTCATTCACAATTTTTGTCTCTGAAAGAGCATGCATCTCATTATCACAGATATTTTTTTTACTCATTGGGTCGACTATGGGTCGACTGTTGGGTCGACTGGGGTCGAATGTTAGGTTGACTGTTGGGTCGACTGTTGGGTCGTCTGTTGGGTCGACTGTTGGGTCGACTGTTGGGTCGACTGTTGGGTCGACTGGTGGATCGACTGTTGGGTCAATCGTTGGGTCGACTGCTGAGTCGACTGTTGGGTGGACTGTTGGGTCGACTGTTGGTTCGACAGTTGGGTCGACTGTTGGGTCGACTGTTGGGTCGACTGTTGGGTCGACTGTTGGGTCGACTGTTGGGTCGACTGTTGGGTCGACTGTTGGGTCGACTGTTGGGTCGACTGCTGGGTCGACTGTTTGGTCGATTGTTGGGTCGATTGTTGGGTCGACTGTTGGGTCGACTGTTGGGTCGACTGTTGGGTCGACTGTTCGATCGACTGTTGGGTCGACTGTTGGGTCTACTATTGGGTCGACTGTTGGGTCGATTGCTGGGTCGATTGTTTGGTTGATTGTTGGGTCGATTGTTGGGTGGATTGTTAGGTCGACTATTGGGTCGATTGTTTGGTCGATTGTTGGGTCGATTGTTGGGTGGATTGTTAGGTCGACTATTGGGTCGAAGTTTGGGTCGATTGTTGGGTTGATTGTTGGGTTCACTGTTGAGTCGACTGTTGGGTTGACTTTTGGGTCGATTGTTGGGTCGACTGTTGGGTCGATAGTTGGGTCGACTGTTGGGTCGACTGTTGGGTCGACTGTTGGGTCGACTGTTGGGTCGACTGTTGGGTCTACTGTTGAGTCGACTGTTGGTGTTGACTGTTGGGTCGACTGTTGGGTCGACTGCTGGATCGACTGTTGGGTCGATTGTTGGGACGAAAATAATTAGCTTGCCAGGCAGACGTTGTTCTGCTTTTTTCGACAATTTGTCATATTAAAAATCCTTAAATACGGAAAAAATTGTGGGCAAAAAATCTAACTTAAGAGTTGGTTTAACTTAAGGTCTCTTAAGTTAGACCAAACTGCATACGGTATGCAAATTTGATTAAAATCGGTTAAGTAGTTTAGGAATACATCGCGGACAAACATCGTGACACGTAATTTATTATATATTAAGATAAAAAATCTAAATAGCATAGAAATAATGTATGTAGCTACTAAGAATGTTTGTACTTATCAGTCATTAAAACGAACTGAAGCCAGGGGATTACGGCGCGCCCGGAAAAATCCGTGGAGTGCCATCAGTTAAAAATTTCAATTTAAGATTTCACACTCACGATCAGTTTTTGGATTTACGTCAGTTCGACTGAGCAGTTTCAACTGATATTGCGACCGAAAAAATCCGTGGGTTGTTGTCAGTTGAAAATTTCAACTTAAGATTCACACTCACGATCAGTTTTTTGGATGTAAGTTAGTTCAACTGATCATTTCAACTGACCGTATGTAGCGCCCATAAAATTTACATGACCGTAATGAACCTTCATCTAAACCAACACTGCCCTAACTATCTTTTGGGGTAGTCCGCGTAAACCAAGAGTACCTACCATGAATAAAACTGTAGACCTACAATAACTATCTAAAAATAAGCTAAAATAATGTGACAGGATCAGTCTCTTGACAGTCGATCTTCTGCCTACCCCGCAAAGGAAAACGTAAAGCTAAAGCAGTAATGCATGAATCGTTTTTTTTTTCAAAAAATGTTTATTTTGCTACAATTTACAATTATATTACAAAGTTATCACTAATCCAAGCGCATTTTAAAAGTTGGTCGACTATTAGAAGCTTACTTAGTTGTGATAGTTTAACTTTTAACTTTATTAACTATATCGTGCCTACTTTTCACAATTTCAACAAAAATCGTTTTAGGTGAAAGGTAGGGGAGAATACTTGAATAATAATAAATACCACTTTAAAGCTAAATATTTCACAAACGTACCTAATAAAATAAAATAAATCGAAAAAATGTTGTTCAAAACCACCAATATTTTTGAATGATCTATCCAAAAATACACCACACGATGGTATAGACGGGTAAATAAAATCACCTGTATCTCCTTTTATAGGTACTCTCATAATGCAGGTGATTTTTCACCAAAATAAAAAAACTTTATAAGCATTATTAATATGAATAACAATGCCAAATTACTCCCTTATGTTAAGGTCTCTGAGTAAAACATCGGACGGATGGATTGAAGGACGGACTGTCGAAACTATGTTGCCGACAAACTGGCTTACAGTTTGGCAAAATTTAAAATGTAAATAATGTACACTCTTTATAAGAATGGACTCTTTAAAAAAAATGGACCTTTGCCAGCTGCCGACATTAACAAACGCACTTTACTACTTTTTGTCTACAACACATAAAACACTGATAAATAAAATAATTACATTATACACAAAAACGTAAAATAATGAGTATTATATTTATTTATTATTTTTTATTGCATACCAACACACAAAAGTATGCAATGGGTGGTTTTATTGCTGACATCCAAAAAACAAAAAAAATAAAATAACTATACTATATTTAATGGCCAGTATGCAAAGTATGTATACCAACATACATAAATACCCAAAATTATAGAAATAGTTTCAATTAAACATACGATCATATTATAGATTATTTTTGTGTTCAACGCGACTCCATACCTCCTTGAGCAAAATTCAAAGAATAAAACAGAAACCAAACAAAATGACGTAGCTCGCAAGGCAATAACGGGAAAAAGTACTTTTCCCGGTATTGCCTTGCGAGTTTTTTATCTCATTTATTCACTAAACGAATGTAGCTGTTTAGGTATATCTTGACGCCGACAGCATTTAGTTATGATTTTGTACGTGACATCTATTCGGTACTGTTGATCGAAGTTATCACCGAATTCAGAATGTAAAATGCTTTTTCTTTATTGGTTTCTTGAAGCCGTTTTTTACTTTTTATTAAAAAATTATTTTTCTGCTAAAGTCATGTCAATGTCAATATTGATATCATTGTCCTATAGTAATATATTAAACTGTTTGTAAGTATGAAAATATCAATGAAAACTTTTGTATTTAACTTGTAAGGGATAAAAAAGAAAAAAATACATGCCAAATTATTTATTTTTTGTTTTTTAAATTGAGCTTTACGGTTTTGACTTTTGGATTAACCAAAGCGCCTAAAGTTCCAACGTAACGTCAACATTTCATCAACTTAAATAAGAGGCAACCGCGATCCTAAACAAGCCTAATCTGCGATGTGATTTTACTCTTCGGAAAACATCGCATCAATTACTAGAGGCTTATTTTAAACAAGGAAAATGAGTGAAAGTAATCGTTTCATGATTTTGAACTAAATTCTGAAGAACTTAAAGTTGGATAAACTATTATTAGGTTTGAATATTGAACTACAGGTAAATTATTTTATAACAGCCGATATATTAATATAATAAACAAAATATTATATTAATTATCTCAATATATTTCAATTATGAGTTTTACTGATGTCGTAAAAATATCCACTACTAACTAATATAAGAATATCCAATACTGCATATCTCCCTTTGGGACAGTCTTTAAGGGGAGGAATTTGTCCAGATATAGACTTTTGATAGGCTGCAGTTAAATGAAAAAGAGTAAACAAAACATAATGACTTTATGTGATCGTCAACAAAAATATATGAAGAAATAAGTGAATCCGTTTTAGTTTCCCAAATTTAACAAAAACTACAACTACCATACATATATTTCACGCCAACAAGATATATTAGATTACTCTCCTTTCTTTCAGTGTTTGCAGACTTATAGAATAATTATATTATAAATCTAATGTTTTTTTTGTTATGAAATATATTTAGCAAATAATTTATAAATTTAAATATATAATTACTATACTTGTAATTTTATGTTAGATTTTAAGATACGAAAATATTTTCTAAGACCTGAAAACTTACATCCACGAATTGTTAATATTCTAAAAGGTAATTTCTGTCGAGAAAACCTAATTTAATTTATCAAATAACTTCAAAAAAAGAAAAAAAAATAAGATTTCAATTTCAATTCCAACAACACTAAAGAGCTTACCGAATTAAGCCGATTCCATTTCTATATGTCACTGTATGGTTCGAAAATAAATTAAATGTTGCAAGCTTTTCAAAGCAAATTAATTTACTGTATTATCACAGCTATTAGATTTAAAAATAATGAAATACGGCGCTGTTTATTTAAGCAAGGCGAAAATATAATAAGCATGAAATAAATTTAAAATAAAATGAACAAGTTTGAGTCTGAGACAAAATATTCATCATTACTGTTAGCGTTTCCTTCCTCAGAAAAAGAAAACATAATATGGAATCATTCATTTCGGTGCCAGTGTTTCTATATTTTATGAAACTCAGTAGTTTCAGAGACTATTTTACGTAGATGATTAAAATCCGACCGACTTATGTGTATGCTCACACCTCTGGACCATGACAGAAATTTGATGTTTGAGTGTATTACAAATTTTAGTACTTGATATTAAATATTTGAGACTTTTATAAATGGAGTAAGCCGCAATGAAAGTCGTCAGTCATCCTGACGTCAAGACGTTAGGGCCAAATGTATTTCACCGAATTCCAGGCATTCTATTCTAGTTTATCCTTTTGTAAGATTTAGTTACCGATTGGTCCCTATTTTTTCTTTTCAGATTTTTTTTCAGAAAAGTGCTACCAAATACACTCATCTCAATCTATCGCTATGCGCTACGACACCACACACAAACGGTATGGGTGTACGATGTCTACGGGAAAGCATAGTCAAAGTTTACGTCGGTCTCAGTTGCTCATGAAGTAGTATACACGCCACTATAATACAATCATTTTCAAGTCCCATTTTTATAACTATAATGCTTTTACTTATTTGAGACCTTCCACATATTTGCCTTATTTCATAGACCTTAATAATATATGTCTTTAAGATATGGGACTTCATTCCATAACTCTACTATGATAATCCTTATGCATCAATGAGACCTTCTAGAATAATGCTTTTGTATCATAGACCTTACTATTATATGTCTCTAATAAATGGGAATCCACCCACAACTCTAGTTATGGGTTAAAGTACCACTAGCTGTAGTTCTTATTACTTTACTCGGAAAAAATTATAAAAGTTGGTTCTGTATTTGAGGGATGAATGTAGGAAATACGGTATGATGATTTCATCTCATCAAGTATAATCAGTTAGAGCTGCAATTGTCTCGCTCGGTTGCAAAGTTCGCTCATTCGGGCACAGCGCGACAGCAATATTTCATTAAAACCTATTCTTTAAATATCTTGCAATCCGGATATCTTCTTAAATTACAGCTGATTCTTATAAGATATTTAGCAAAAGAGATAGTTAATAGTGCGGCGTGAATTTAAAGAGGGACACCGTTCTATTTGTAACAAATAAATTATCGCTTCAGTAATATATTTTTTATAAAGTTCATCAGAATATATTGTTGCGCGCCATAGTCGATGCCTGGTATATGCCATAGTCGGCGCCATCTAGTATCAAGTAGCAGAAATGGGAGCGTCAAGATCTTTCTTAAAAACCTGCAGCAGAGAGCCCTTGAGGTGGAGAAGATGGTTCGAAAAGCATACCAGTCTGTACCTGTACTCATTGATGGGAACCTGGTGCAGACATTCATCTACGGCATCCGCGACCTTGAAGTCAGAGCTGCTGTGAGGTTTGGGCACCACGAGACGCTTAAGGACGCCTAGGCCTATGCACTGGAGATGGAAGCTGTGCGGCAAATCTTCCTTTATTTAGTTCCCATTGCGTCAAGGAGGTTGCGGCAGCTACAGTTCGCGATAGCAATAAAGGATTCAGCCCTAGGTGCTATGGTATATTTTTTCGCAATCGAGTTATTTTAATTACTATTTTTACCATTGGGCTTGTTACCATATACGAGTATATGTTTAATGATCGAGGTTAGCTAATAGTTTAACATCGCAGCCAAACTTACTATAAGTATACATACTAACTGAGCTACGGAATGTCAACCGAGGAGTGCGCGTGTTCGTTAAGATTCGATCCACAGTATCGGTACAGCAGTATTTTAACCGAGTTCAAAATACCTGGAAAGTTTTCATGTATACCTCGGAAACGTATATATATATATATATAACGTAACGAATACTCTGTTTTGAATAAGTAAGCTCCTAATGACAGCGATGTAACCCGTAGGCAGCTTGAAAGCGTTTAACTCGCAGTGGTAGATATAAACAGACAGGTTTATTTTCCCTGAAGATCTTTGGCTGTTTTAAGTTTAAGAAAAAATATTTCTAGTGCGAAGTATGTTCAGGGCAATACAATTTCGCTTAGCTCTGTTTTTATAAAAATACAAAAAATTCGTTGTTCAAACAGGTAAAACCTTAAACATGTAAGCAATGCCTATAAATTATTACATGCGTGTACATACCAAATAACCCTGTATTATACATATACAGGGTAACTCTTCAGAGAGTAGTCAAACTTTAAACTAAAGTTAAAATATATTAATATTGATATTTTATCGTCATTTTAGTTTTTGTAAATACAAGTAAATAACGATTACGATCGACGATTACCAACGATCGTAATCGATGATCGATTACGATCGTTGGTAACTTGTCAAAATTAACCTTCTTATATTGTAGCAGTTTTTTATTGCCTGAAAACACGGACAAAAGGACGTTTTCTAAAAATAAATCCTACCTAGATCGATTTATTGCCCCCGAAACTCCCTGAACACTAAATTTTATGAAAATTGTTGGAGCCGTTTCCGAGATCCCGATTATATATATATATATATATATATATATATATATATATATATATATATATATATAAATATATATATATATATATATATATATATATATATATATATATATATACAAGAATTACTCATTTAAAGGTATAGGATAATAGTGTATTTAAATAAAACTTTTGCTTGACATAATGTTATATAGGTGCGTTGTAAATGACAGGCACTTACTTTAACCGGCGATCGTACCATCTACCATTGCTAAACCAATTTAGACAATACAAAGTAGAAACTTTGGTCGCGCCCAGGTTCCTAAATAGATTTAGTTTCGCTTAGCACTACTGGGGTACTGTAAATCATATTGTTGAATTTAAAATTGCAAATAGTTTATTTTTCAATTTGTAGCTACACTCGCGTATACTATAGGTAAACAGACGCTTATTTTATTTAGTTTGACCCCGCAATAGTTTTCTGTTTACCTAATTCCGCAATTCATAACATTTATATGAATTTATTAAGAAGGCCAGGTTCAGAAGCGAACTTGTGGGCTGTAATGATGATATGAATTTATATACTAGTGCATTCTTACATATATACTTGATTTGATTTGGTTAGTGTACGCTACAAATAACACCTACTAAATTCTTTCAAAGTTTGAAGAATTGTTTGTTTCCTCAACAACAATTTGAACATTTCAAAATATTAAATATATTGCAAACAGCTCGGCGCCTTATACATCTAGATTTATGCCGGGGAAGGACCACGCTTTCACAAAATATCAGCTTGGAATAGTAGCTTAATGCTGCTGTTTTTTGTATGGTGTGTGTAGAGAACCGTAGACCCTTTTTACCAGAAACTATTCACGGGTGACAACACATCCGCATTTTAATTTGTAATCGGGGATAAATGTAGATGTCTGTGGATCACATCACCACTTGACTGTGTGATCTTTTGTCACCCTATCCTATAAAAAAATATGTAGGAAGATTGATCTTCTTGGTTATTATTAAATATTTGCTCGGTTCTTAGCGCTTTATTCTTTTTTTTTCTATTAGACTAGGCTTATATAATTTCGCATAACACTGTTACCGACAGTAAACGCAAATAAAACATGTTGTTTTATTTTCGCACGGAGGTTATTAAGCCTACCAAGCGTAGCAACTACGGCAAATTTCTCTTGAGGCAGTTATGGGGGAGTTCTATGTTTAGCAGTGGACTCTTATAAGCTGTAACGGTAGGATGGATGTTGTGTTAAAAGTGGATCATAATAGTAGGCGAATGGAGGATTCGAACCCACAACCTACTGACATTGCAGTACACATCCTTAACTTTTAAACTACTGTCAATTGATATAAGGCAATGTTCCCGTAAGCGTCAAACATAACTTGTGTTTCGTGTCTTCAGTATTCTTCCTGTAGTTCGGAATAAATTTATTTGTTTCAGCTGACTTCAAAAACGCGGGAAATTTACAATTATACTTCACTTCAACTCACTGTATGTTTTTTTTAATTAAATACTTCGTACTTCAGGGGTGGTCTAAATGGTGGTGTTGGAAAAAATGCCACCTCTAAAGGTAGAAAAATAAGGAATGAAGTTTTTAATGTAACTATTGTAGACGACATAAGTTTAGTGATATCCCTTAGTTCATTCAAAAGGGTAATCAAATAACTTTTATTAAAGATAAACATTATCTTAATACAAAATTTTCAATTATATAATCACATTAAGTTTAGGATAATTTCAAATAAAATAGAAGCCTTATTTACTTGTATTTACAAAAACTAAAATGACGATAAAATATCAATATTAATATATTTTAACTTTAGTTTAAAATTTGACTACTCTCTGAAGAGTTATATGTATAATACAGGGTTATTTGGTATATACACGCATATAATAATTTATAGGCATTGCTTATATGTTTAAGGTTTTACCTGTTTGAACAACGAATTTTTTGTATTTTTATAAAAACAGAGTTAAGCGAAATTGTATTGCCCTGAACATACTTCGCACTAGAAATATTTTTTCTTAAACTTAAAACAGCCAAAGAGCTTCAGGGCAAATAAACCTGTCTGTTTATATATTTAGGTGAAACAAATACACGTATTTCGTTTGAATCCGATTGAGATAGACGTTAGAATCTCCCAAAACAGAAATGATGTTTGCGCCTAAACTATGATAATTAGATATCACATAAAAATTATAGAAAATTTTAGAAAATAAAAATTCTAACTAGATTTTCAACTGTGATTTACACCATAAAATATGTGTATTGTTTCAATCGACTTAGAAACTACACGATATAGAACATCAAGCAATCAACAATCAATGATGATGATGCCAACAGCGAGGTAAGCCTTCACAGCTCAAGGTCCTAAGGTTGATAATTTGCAGTCTCTGCAGCACCTTCACGCGGTGAACAGTGCTCAACAGTACTTGGTGGTGGCCTTAAAGCTGACCCTGTAATAAATATATATATGTACTGTATATGTTCATTTTTAAATGAATTTATAAAAACATAAATTAAATAGAGTGCGAAGCTGGAGAAGTTCATGACACGTTCCATAAGTGTCATAAGGGCAGGAAATGCCACAAAGACCTCTTAAATACCAACTGATAGCAGTAAAAATGTCCTGTTTACGCCAAGCATCGTCAAAGGCACAATACATTTGCTCCTTGGATCGCCGTTCCGCTCTGTCAACCCTAATAAGAAAACAGTCCAGTAACAAAAGTGGATTCCATAGACTGATGAAAAAGTAAATTATATATATATATATATATATATATATATATATATATATATATATATATATATATTTACATACGCATGGAGATCTATCCGTTGAGTTCTCTGTACACTCTCATATGTGTTGATGTTGAAACAAAGAAGCCTACAGATGCGTTATTCCCTTTTAATACTAAGATGAAATGTCTCATACCCTGTAATTATAAAGAGTCCCATCACCTATGTCGCTGGACACATGCCTATTCTAGGTTCTGAAAGGATTTTGTTAGGTGGAATTAAATAAAATGTATCTTATCGTACTATCCTACTCCTATCGTACTACTATTTGTTAATAATATTTCTAGGAATGTCAAACGAAAAAGTGAAAGAAATTCCACTTGGATCCGGTTTGAGCCGGCCTATACGTGCAAATGCTGCTGCGTGGCTCTACCACTGTTAAACTAATAAATAATTTGATTGACTAATTAAGAGCTATTACGATAGCCAATAGGAAAAAAGGTATTACATATTAGGAAACAGAGTCATCTGTGGAAACAAGGCTGTAGTTATTTAAATATAAGAAAGTGACCATATTAACCGGATGATATATTACCCTCACATACTATATTTGATGTTTCAGTGCATCATCATTCGTGTAAACGACCTTTCAAAATTTCACGCAAATATAGCGAGTACCATTCGAGAAAATTTTTTTCGTTTCTAATTAAAAGGAAAATACATTCACAACCCTAGTGGAAGTTATAATACAAACATGAAATGTTAATTATTAAGCAAATAACGAAGTAAAATTGGGAATACCGAACCAACATAAATATCTAAACCAAGTTAACCACTTGTCTACACAGAAATAACAGCATATCGAAATATCACTAAACAACAATTTCACATGACTTAGCTTAGTACTTGCGTGATGTTTTGTACTTACGAATGAAATATAATATTACATCCTGGATGCCACTCACTTTTGCATCCGTTCATAATACATTTAATGGCCATTTTACTAGTTTTGCCTCTGAAATTCAAAAACAAACTTGCGAAATAAACATAAATATCCGCTTTTTGCAGTAAAAAACTCTTTGACAAATAGATGTTGGCTTGCCATATAAAGGCTTTTAAGAATAATTCTAAAATAGGGGAAATATGTACGAAGCTAGACAAATAGTTTATCGTAAATCTTTATTGTTTAAAAGAAAAAGCAAGCACTTGCGTGAAAATCATTTTTGTCAAGTTTTTTTATCATTATTTACTTATAATTCATGGCATACAGACAATTAAACTTATACTGAAATTCATGTCAGTCAATGGGTTACCATTCGTCACCTTGGCCTTCCTCTGGGGAAAACGGGGGTTACTTGCAGCTATTTGATTATTCCTAACGTTGATATTAGGAGTTTTGGTTCCTGGTTTGTCTATACTTCCTTGCCTACGAACCACTCTCCCTAAACCTCTCTCTCTCTCTCATGTGCTGCAGACGAAGTTGCGTGGGTCATCTATCAAATTATACTGTGGGTACCGTAAGAGGCGAGAGGGGTAAGCAGGAGATGGGCATTGGGCAGCAGCATCGTTATGATAACAGCTCAAACTTATAAAAGCTAGCT